TCCCAGTCCACTCATCAACCAAACTACACACTGGACTATTAGCGTGTCTAGTAAACGCATTAGATGGCTACGTTCTCTGCAGTGGTAAGCAGTCATAGTCTCAGACTCGCAACATAAGCTGCGTTCGGAAGAAGCTGAGCAACTTACATGCTTACTTACATACATGCCTGAAGTCCAATGTAACAACTAAAGTGATCTACGTTGTAACATGCACTTACATCGCTAGATTACGTCAGCGCTAAGCCTGAAGACTGATCCTCCGGGGTATTGACGCCTCATCTAGCTACGGCTGCCAGTCTGTTCCACGCTGGAATGCAGCACTGGATCAGGGCAGCTCTCAAGTTTGTACCCAGCGCTAATGTTTAGGCTTAGCCTTTAGGGTCTCAATTCAGCGCTTCCCTCGTACGTGAAAAAGCCTGCCGGTGGTCGATACTGGGCGGAGCCTACGCTCAACACACACATGATCATGATTACATACAATCAACAAGCGCACACACACGTTTTAACCATCTCTGTGCAGAAGAGCATAGTCTTTTTTCTCGCCCCGCCCTGCGCCTAGACCAAAACCTTCGCGGAGGAACACGGACAACGATGTCTTTGGATCTGCCCGAGGCCAAACCGGACACCATGGAGGAAATCTTCTCCGACAAGTGTCAGCGCATCAACCTGGACCACTACAGCATCTATCACTTTGATGAACTGGTGATTGACGACCGCAAGTACCAGTATCGTCTGTCCTCCAAGGGTGACGTGATGACGCTGGTGGGTACCCTGAATGGCCAGTCCCTCCTACTGGTCTCCGTGTGGACAAATATGGATCATGAAAACCGCCTGCGTGAGATCCATCAGTACATTCTGCAGAGGGAGGCACAGGGTGACCTGCCTAATGCTGATGGCAAGGGTAAGCACTCCTTGCTTTGTTTTCTTTCCCTTCTTATTTTTACAGTTTGTGTTTCTCCTCCAACTGCTAGTAAGTCTGCCTACTTTAAGCATAAACTGTCAGCTAATGACAACGTCCATCACACAACGCCATCTTTGCTTTCGCTATGCTACTTCCGATGATAAGCTGAAAGGCTAATTATCCGGCGTTCCGTCTGACAGCGTCAGTCCCTCAAACAACGCTTTATTACCACTCGTTGATTAAGATTCACCGAACGCTAACCGAACTCACTTGTCCGCTTTTGCCTTGGGCCTCATTTCTAGGCAGCAGCTAGTAGTCTTAGGCAGACAGTATTGCCGGCAAAGACAAGGGAGACTGGAATGGCCATTTCTGGTTTATTAGCCGTCGTCAGCTAGTCATACCTAGACGCAAGTGGTGCAGCCTCGAACTCGCGACCTCTTTGATCGAAGTCAAACGCCCCCACCACTGAGCCACGAGCTCATTGTCTTGCCCGTTTAGGTCGGGAGATATTGACACTTTGATGAACTTTCACAGACCGCTAACGGAACTCACTTGCCCCGCTCCGCCTTTGCCTTGGTCTGTAGCAGGTAGTAGTAGTAGTAGTAGTATAGGCAAATAATTTTGTCGGCAAAAGATTTCGACGTTCTTTTCGTCATCTTTTTTATTCTCTTTAGGAACGTTTGCCATAAATCTGCACCTCACATCAGTATCTATGCCCCTGTCCAATTGAAGACTCTGTGTTTGATCGGCACCTTTTACTGTAGTTGAATTTGTTAACTGGGCTTTCACATTAAATAATGCTCTAGTTGTTTTATTTACCAGACTGTCTCGGATCACACTTTAGAAGCCTCACAAGCAGCCGCATAGTGACTTTGAGCATAGGATGACATCACAGCGGCAGGGAGACTGGAAGAGATATTTCTGGCCTATTAACAGCTTTAAGCCAGTGGTAAACGGCACATTGATTTATAGGCCGAAGTATATTATCGACAAAGATAAGGGAGACTTGTTTACCGTCATCATCAGCCAACCATATCCAACCCCAGGGGCGGCGACCCCCGAAATTCGATCCCGCGACCTTGTTAGAAAGAAGTCGAACGTTATCACGACTGCGCCACGGGCTCGTTGTCTGATCGGTTTTGACCAGGAATATATACCATGGTAGATAGGCGCTGACCGATCGCTTACGGAACACATTCCTTCCCTTGTAACTTGGGGTTCGCTCTCCAGCTCTACCAACAGCCACTCAACGGCTAGCATATATCGCATCGGGTCCAGTGGTACTTTCTAAGGCTTGAGAAAACTTAACGAGTTGCATCGACTCGGCAGACAATGCCATCCTTGCTCTGACAGCAACCACCCTCCGAGGTATTTGAAACTGTCTGCTGCTACTTCAAGTTGACAGGCATTGATCTCGAGGGGTGTCTTCTCTTGGGCAAGGATGCAGCATCAAAATACAGCTTGGTCTTTTCAGCGTTTCTGGAGAAACCGAACTGAAGTAGTGTACA